CTGCTCTTTACACCTAAAGGAGGACCGACTGATCAAACTTGGACCAGAAAAGCGTTTTCGACTCCGTCACTCTGCTGTGCTATGAGGTAGTTCGTTGAGGAAGATTGTCATGAGGTCGTTGCGCCATCTACAGGATAAGTTGGGGAACTTTTCAAATGGCGGAATATTTTCGATGTGAAACCGAATCTTATTCTCCGCATTTTATTTCTGAAAATATCTGCGAAAATCTGCGAGTTTTGGCCGATTACAATTAGTCTCAAACGGGCTAAAATTGGAGTCAACGCATGGGGCCTAATTTTGCGCCCATGCATTGACTCCTACTACAGAGTCAAGTCTAAGAGCCTCAAGATTATTGCAGTCCAGTTTTTGGTTTTTTGATTTGTCTCTTTTATGCAGAAATTTCTCCACATTCTCTGAATCTTTTCACAGTTTTATGTTTTGTCGATGATGAAATCGTCAAACTCAATTCTATGCAGATGATATTTATTTAAAACAATGACATTTTTCAGCTTGAACATTTTACCTTCTAGACACAAGGTTTAGTCTTTCTCCTGGCTTATACTGGTCTTTAAAAGACCCCACATTGTTGAGCCTGAAACATTTAAGCGATGAGGAACCAGATCTACGGTTTGGTTCCTGATAGAGAAACACGCATCCAACCATTTTCCTCCTTTATTCGTGTTCACTCGCTGCAGGCATTTCAGCCTTTTCACCTTTTTTACCTTAAAGAAAATCTAAAGAGGGATGGGAGAAGTGTGGCAGACAGAGAGGAGGACTCTCTTGAAGCGGGTCATTACAGTCTGGACTCACTCCTGGGTCATGTTTGCAGCAAAAAAAAGAAGAACCAGAAGTCTCTTTCTCCCGGGGGACTTTCCCACCTCCTCCTGGGGGATTTCTAGGGATCCCTACGCCAGATGGGATCTGAATCCCTTCAGCGTATTTAAGGGGGTTTATCTGAGAGTCTCCTAGCAGTCGGTTGTGCCTGGAAAACCTCCAAAGCAAGCCCCAAAAGAGGCGTTGTGATCAGATGTATCACCTGGTTCCTTTGGCAGGAAAGGAGAAGCAGCTTTTTCTCTAAGTTTCCTGCGGACACCTGAGCTCTTTGTCCTTTCTCTGAGGAGGAGAATCAAAATATCCTCAACATTTATCTAAATTTGGTGAAACTCGACCCACCGGTGAAAATAAACCACACAGCTCAGCAGAGGAGGACTGCCAGCAAACATACAAAGAGGTCGTTTCTTAAAATGTAAATCTGGGCGTATATAAAAACAGTTTTGCTTGTTGTACAGATGAGGATGTTGTTCCCTGATTTCCACAATAAAAGCCTTTGTCTGTTAACGGACGGAGTGAACAGGAAGGTTGCAACAGTTCCACCTTTGCCTGCAACAGCGACGTGTCTGCTGCTTTATTGTCCCCCTGAAACTGTTTGACACTTTTGACTTTAAATGACTTAAAGATAGAATATAAATATCAATGCCAAAATATCACGATGGTGGGAAAGGAGAAACTCATGAAATAGGTCGAATTATGAGCCAGTCAAAAACAAAAACAGTAGATACTGCGCCTGACTTAATCTCAACTCAATAATAATCTCAATCATAAGTTAGATTTTTGTATCAAAATTCAAATTAAATTTTACCACAATAGTTCAGCTGTTTATGTCAAAACTGAATTTTTATTTCATATTTTGGAATTTTACTTAAATAATTTCAACTTTTATCTCTCTACTCCAGATATTTTGTCTCATAAATATGAATTTTAGTTTTAAATTTAATTCCCATTTCATTCATTTGTATTATGACTTTTAACTCTAATGTTAGAATCTCAGAGCTTCTTCTCTATTTTATATTTTATTAATTTCACTGGTATAAACACACTTTTATATTTAACTCACATATACGAAAAAAGCTGCAGGAACAGTCGACATGTTTATATTCTAAGGATTGTTATGTCGTATGTTTCCCTGTGAAAATATCATGATGATATCCATGGGAGTTACTTAACATTATATTTATGAATATGTTTGTTTGTTATGCTAACTAAACTGCTTCTCGGGGACGATAAAGACTTTCCGATGAAATCCAAAACGCACGATCTTAAGAAAACAAGCGAGAAAGAAAAAACAGCGTAACAGTCGTCCTGCTCATCAAATAAACCAGTTTAACCTCAATATCTGCAGATGTCAACTGTTAAAATGAGGTTTGTGAATATAAATAAACTCGTGCATCAGATACAGCCGAAGTAACTTTCATCTTCTCACTCCCTGATGACTCGATCTTTTTCGTTTTTAGAGTCGGCTTCTTTTATGGTTGTATTTCAGTCGACGTCATCGTCCACTCCTCCTACAAAAACACATGAATCCAAATTTTCTCACGCACTGTCTTCAAACAATCCCACACTGAAGCTCCTGAGAGGAGGAGTTTGTGTTGATTTTGGCGCCCCCTGTGGACAAAATGAGATCTTCTGTGTCGTAACTGTTTTTGATCATGAATTGCTTTCATCCCCCTCACAGCAGTTAAGATCTGTAATAAAGACCTGATATATTTGTGGCTCACAGCTTCGTTTGCTTTAGTCGGACATAAAAAGACATTTCAGTCTGTGTCAAAACACTGCAGAAAGTCACGACAGGAGCTTTAACCTTCCCTGTCAGGCCAGTAGAAGCAGCTGAAAGTGAAAAAACTGGTTCTCTCCTCTGAAGCTGCAGGTAAAGTCATGTTCAGTGGGTCAGAGGCGATCAAACAAGCGTGCAGCGATCGACTGCACCTGTTTCGTGCACACAGGTTTGTGCATCTGGAAAGTTGTGACTGACAGCATTCCTTCCCCTATTGTGCACATGCATGTGTGTGCACGCCTGCATGCACCTGTACATACATACTGTAACACAAACACACACAGATCATGGCGTGAAGTGGACCGTGCCGCAGACATTCTCTCTCTCTCCGCCGTCCTTGTTTGTCTCCTTCAGGCATCCTTCCTTCTCTTCTGCTTACTTAGCCTCCTCCTTTGACTCTTCTCCCCTTTGATGGTGAGCAGCCCGTGGGTGAGGGCGTGCAGGGGTCAGCGGGCCAAATTAGCACAAATAATGGAGAATTTCAAAGCAGGAGAAAGAGACATTGTGTGTGGGTTGTTCTTGATTCTCCAGTGGCCTCGAACAGCCTGCAGTGGAGCTGTGAACTTAAGCGCACTGAGTCTTTTCATGCGTTCATACGGTATGCATGGCTGTGCTTCTGCATGCGTGCCACTCTCATGTCTCCGTCCGCGTCTGATATGACAGTTGAATGTATGTTTGTGTATGTTTATGCTGTTTTGCACACACTGCGCTCTGTGAAGTGTGAAGGAGCCTCGCCGCCATCTGTAACGGCTGCTCTCTATCTGGTCGAACAGGACCGTCCCGCTACGGTTCATTTTCATCCCTCTTCCCGCCGAGCGGCACATATGCAGCGCCGGCTCTTCCCCCCTAAGGGTAAAAAACTGCTCAGACAAGAACTAACTAAGTGCACATAATGTTCCATTTGTCGAGAGGCTTTTCATCCAACATGCAGGTTAATTAGAGGCGAACCTGCGATCGTCCTCACACGCAGTTTTCTGTTATCTCAGGACAAGGTTCATGTGTTACATTCCTGCTTCATCTCGACTCTTAATAACCAGAACCTCATTATTTCTCTTCTTATTTGTTCAAAACTTTCAATTATTTCTCTTGGTTGAAATTCTCATGAGACTTTGCAGCTAAAAGGAACAATAAGAGCGTGTTAACGGTCAGAGCTGAAACACCTTGTTGCTTTCGCAGAGCGTCGAGTTTGTTTTCTGCTTTTAAAAAGTCTGTCGAGCAGGAAAATCGACTCGAAGTTAAACCTGCCAGTCAAATAAAATCATGAATAAAGTTAATATCAGATCAGAGCTCACTTTATCGCAGGATTTTAGGACTAAATGCTGATTGATAAGTCGAGATAATATACTGTATAATAACTCTCATTTAAGGAAAGGCAGTGACTAACTCCACAGATTATCAGGACCATCTCAGAGGAAAAATAAACAACAAAGTTTCAAAATAAAAGTTGTTAACTTTACGAAAAGTCTTAACTTCAAATTTGCTGTTTTATTCTCATAAAGTACAAACTTCAGTTTTATAAACTCGTCTGTTTTTCTCAGACACAGACGACTTTTATTACATAGATTTATGCATCTACTCTAAAATTTGCTGCTCTTCTCCTCTCGTAGATTTTTTCTCATGTTATTCTTGTAAACAAACGACTTTCATCTCGTAGATTTATTATTTATTATTCTGTAAATTTACAGTTTTAATCTTATAAAATAAAAACTTTATTCTCAGAAGTTTTAAATTCTATTTTTGTGAACTTTCGTCCACAAAAGTTTCTGACTGTTCTAGAAATTTTGTCTCTTAACTTTAATCTCATAAATGTTCACCTTTATTCTTGTAGACTGCCTTTTTCTCATAAATGTATGACTTTGTTTTTGCACATTTATGAGATCATTTTAGTGAATTTATGACTTCTTCCCCTCAGGGCTGTAATCTAGTAAATTTTCCAATTTCTTCTCATAAATTTATGACTTTACTCTCTGATTTATGACTTTTTCTCTTGTAACAACATCTCCTAAATATACAAATCGATTTAGATAAATTTCCAACTCTTTTCTTGTTAATGTAAAACTTTTTCCTTTTAGAGCTTTAACCTTTTAAATACACGGCTTTATTCTTGTAAACTTCCTGTAAATATAAAACATTATTTTTATACAATTTTATTTTTGTTTTTCTGGATCTAAATCCCCTTTTTATCTGACCTGCTTTACTACTGTAGATTTCTGACAGATGAGCGCAGCATGATAAATACAAACACAGTGAGACTGAGAGGATAAGAAGTCAAAGCAACCAAAGCTGTAAACTCTGAAATAAACAGTTAAAAAGGTTTTATTCACAAAGATTCACTTAAAGAAAAGAGTCTGAACCGTGGTCATGCTCCTGCAGCAGATCTTCATGTAAACTACAAACACGTAGAGAGTGAATGTTCTCCACACTGTGGTGATAAATCAACCTCTGAACCGCTCAGCTCCTGCAGCTCAGACTGGGATCTGAACAGATCATCGATTCTGAAATCGTGTCGTCCTCTTTTGTTTTCATACTTTTCCATTTGACCCGACGCTGTTGGACCAGTCCAGCACGTTGGCGGTAGAAGTCTAGAGGAGATTTTAAAGATGTCTAAAGAAAAACGCAGGAAAACACAAAGACGGCGAGGCTTCGGTGTGGTGCTGCATGTGCCCTTTAAAGCTGTGCTGACACCAAGATGAACTTGAGCCTTTCTCTGCTCCAACTCAAGGGCAGATCCAGACGTCTTCATGTGAGAGCTGAAAAGTCAAACCCAGACGCATATGTCCCCCTCCACTCTGAGAGACGTGATTTGATTATTGTTGGATGTTTGACCTTCACGCTGCAGGATGAAGTACGCCACACCTGAAGCTGAGAGCCGTTCTCACGTTCACCTGCTGCAGGGAGGGTGCTCACCTTGAATCGGAGCGTGGATAGGCTGAGAAATGGACTTTTCATTTTCTCAGTGGAGCAGGAGATGCATGTCTGCAGGGGATCTGCAACAAAAGCAGCAGGATTTACTTTGTAACCTCAATACCCAACATGACACGGCATAAATATTCACATTCAGATCAACTCCAGTGTGGATACAGTGACTCTAATGTAGCTGTGGAGTGATCACACTCACTGTAACCACCACAGATAGCCTGCTGTATCGCCTCGACACTTATTTTATAGAGTCTACCCCATCATTACGCAGATTCCAGCTCACCAAGGCAGAAACACAAAGCAGAGGTGGCTCTGAGGGCCGCTGACAGCTCGCTCTGCCCCTCCTCCTCCTCCTCCTCCTCAGCCGCAGCTCTTCGCCACATGTAGTCCATTTTGTCAGAGGAGGCGTGACGCTGCACGCTTGATTAGGGAATAATGTGTGTAACGTGGAGGATTAAAATGCTGTCGTGTTTAGTAGTGAGTAAATAACCGAAAGTGAAGCCGCTCGAGCTTTGTGAAAAGCTCATTAAAGGATTAATCTGCGAGTTTAAAGTCTTTTCATTTGTATTTCGGACTTTAAATCTGTGATATTGCTTCACTTAATTGCCTAACAGGCTGTTATGGCTGCAACCAAATCCCTGCTGGGAAATGTAGTCCGTCAAACTTTCTCCACCAAGAGCGCTCAGAGTTTTCTTTCAAGTGACTCCCCACAAAGTTTGACCTTTTGGTGGAAGATCCTCATTGCTCTAACCAGAAACAGCTGTCACATGACTGTCATTACAGCAGCCCAGCTCCTTTGATAAAACCTGCAATTTTACCACACAGTAAAATTGGACATGAGAGTCGCTGCCCGACCACAGCTTACATTTTTCTTTGACTCGGTTTGTGACTTAAGGGTTTTGAAATCTCAGCTTACCGCCAACATATGATTTTTCTCACAAAGATAACCCACGGACAAACTCCAGTGTGGAAGTATAAACCACCGCAGTTCCTGAAATGGCCACTAGAGGCTTCCTCCAGAGTGTGCAGCAACCTCTAGGTCTTGAGAAAGAAGAGGAGCCAGTGGAGGAATATCAGAACCTGCAGTTCCTTCGGTGTCCGTGCAACAGAGTTAAACGTGTTTAGAGTACGGTGAAAAATATTGTTTCTACCTATGGAGCTAATTTCTTTGTTCGTGACGACAGAAAAGACTAAGGGTGATCCAATCAGACATGACGGAGGTGGGAATGGGTTGGGTTGGGTCTGGTTAAACTGGTGTAAAACCACTTGACTGGGATGATGTGTAACCAGCATAGACATGAAACACCGGTGGTGCTAGCTCTGCTAAATGTAGCCACTCTGCACACAGGTCGGAAACCGTTCATCTGCAGACTCTGCGATCCTGTGTCCAGCTAAAAACAGGACCAGGGTTTAAAGGTGGGGTAGTCAGGATCTGAGGAAGTACCAGTTTTTGGGAGAAATCTTGAATGTAAACTCTACCCCTCCTAGCCAGTTTTCCCCTCAGCTCCTCCTCTCAAGCCCCGCCCACAAACAGACACTCCTGCTCGCTCGTAACGTTCCAATTAAATTCAGATATAATGCAGATAAATACTTCAGATCATTACAAATGGGGCCCAGTCAAGGTGAAAGTCAAAAGCATTGGTGCTACTGTAGATGCCAACAGACTACCAGCAAACACAATGTTTGCAGGACTTCTACAACTAGGATAAAGTGACATAGTCCAGGACCCGAGGGAGGACAGTTTAGCGATGGCGCTACAACACGCTACAGCAGGTCCGTTTGACAAGAAACACTTCTGTTACAGACACTTGTCTTACTTTGTTAAAGCGGTTTACCTGTCCACTACAAATAAAGATGCTTCTTTAACAGAATCCTGCCTCCTCCACCTTTAAAGTGGTCAATGCATATGGACGTTAACCTGTAGGGAGATCTGAAAACCGGCTGTGCTAGCTCTGCTAAAGGTAGCCACTTTGTGAACCAGCTGAAAATAGTTCACGTGCAGACTCTGCAGTCCCGTGCTCGTCTGAGTTTAATAAATTGAACTCATTTTAGACCCCATCATGAGTCTTTTCTTACCTCTAGACTTAAATTTCTGTAAATAAAGTTAAGAAAGTGAAATCAGCATCGTGCCGTTTAATAAAAAATACTCTCTCTCTCTCTGGAGGAATCCATTCTGTAATTTTGTTGGAACAACCTGAACAACAACCTTTCTGTCCCCAAACCAATAACACTCACTGGACTTCATTTGATTGGGCTTTAAGAATTACATTGCAGCTGCTGCAGCCTGTTTTCCTGCAAATGCAATTAAAGAGTCTGCTGGAGCCGGACCAGAACCTTTTTTTTCTTTTTTTTTCTACATGACTCTATTTTCACCCTTAAACGAGTAAAAATAGGACCCGGGTTTAAAACGATCAAAATTAGCCTCTGAGGCTTTAGATGAATGAATTAAGATGTTATGGAGTCAAGAATTAAGTTATGAGGAAATAAACACTGAGATGACAGATAATAAATCAGCTATGCACTTGCAGCAGAACCACACATGCAGCCCCCCCCCCCTCAGGCGTTTGTAGGACAGGTGGAGCCTGTCTGAACACACATCCTAAATAAGAACACACTGCTCCCTTCATTTATCAGCCTCCCACCGTCACACACTCTCTGTGTGCGCCGCGATACAAAGACACATTTAGGCAGCAGAAAATTCATCCTGACACCCAACAGAAAACAAACTCCTATATCTTTTTACTGCCCCTCTTTTTTTTACACATTCACATGCGCACAAACAACCTGGACATGTGATGCATTCACTGCCACATGGACACAATTTCCCTGAACTTCTTCAGGCAGATACGCACTGGCGGCAAACTCCGAATGAACTCATACGCTCGGCAGAAAAACAAATCTCTCATGCGCCTGTAATAGTGCGTCTGTTGCCTTAGGACTGAAACTGGGTGTACTCCGTCTTTGTGTATGTGGGAAATCTATGCGGAGAAAATAAGGAGGACGCGTGGAAAGTATGAGATGATTGAGTAACCCTTTGGTTCGATTCCTCAGGGTAACGTTTTCGATGGGAACCTGAAACTTTGCGTTAAGTTTTGGCTCTTGTCTGGTCTTTCCACGACGTCTTTTTTCACCGCTTTGTTCTGGTTCTTATCACCGCCTATCGGTTTGGAGTCAGACTAACTGTAAACTGTTGTCCTGATCCATCCTGGCATTGTTCAGATAAGCAGTGGATCTGAACAGTGAGGAGTGTGTTTGCACTTTTGGACGTCCTGCATGTGTACAGCACATGTACAGTGTGTGTCTGTGTGTGTGTGTGTGAAATAAGAGTAAATGCGAGCCAGTGTTGCAGTTCACATGTGGGCAGCTGTACCTCATGAGTGTCTGTGTGTGTCTGCTGGGTATGACGAAGGCTTGGCGCTAATCAGATCCAGGACCACACAGGAACTGGAGTTGGGGCCGCTGGGAATCGGGGCCCAGGACCCTCAGTTGTGACTCCGTGCCAAGAAAATCACCTTCCAGCTTGTTGGCTCCGCCTTCCTGGGCCTCCATCGCCGAGTTCTCCGCCTCCTTTCCCACCTTCTCCTCTTTCAGAGATTCTCTTGTACCCCGTCAGGAAAAAGATGGAGGTTATTGTGAGAGGCTGGGGGTGCAGTTACAGCCTCAGGGCACCCAGGGGCCTCACCAGGCCTTGAAGGCTTCATTATACCCCCCCCCCTCGATTGGCGGGGGGTGGTGGGCATGTTAGAAATGACCATGTAGGTCCTTTGTGAGTGTGTCTGTGGTCTCTTTACAGTATGTGTTTTATGGCTCATTACAGAGGTGGCTGAGATGTGGGGATGAATGGAGGGTGGAGGAGGAGGGGAAAGGTGACATGGGGTAGGAACTGTGTGGCTTTGTGCACAGATGTGTCCTAAAAATGTCTCAGGATTGTCCAGGTGACCCTCAGTCCTCCACAGTTACCTCATAATGACTCTGAAAAACAGACCCCAGTTATTATATTTTTATTCTTCTCGTCTCAGACACAAACGGCAGATCTGTGTGCACTCAGGGTTAGCTGTTTCATCGCACGCTGCAGAGCTGGAATCATTATTTTCACTTCAGTATTAATTAGCATGAAAACAAGTGCGGGGCCGTGAATCTGGCACCACTACTCGTGTCACAGTGGATGGTTTCTTTTTCACACCATTAAAAGGCGGATTTGCAAATGTATTTATTACAACCCTGACACTTTTCTGCCGTCTGTCTCAGCCCAGGAAATAAAACAGAAAGAGAAACTCACTGCGTGTAAATTAAAGATTCAAAATAGACAGGGTTTAAGATGTCAGATCATTTATGTAGCAGATTTACCATCACATATTCATTTAGGTTTTAATAATACAAAACTTTGGACATGCAGAACTCCAGAGATTGAGATCATTTCGGGCTGCTGTTTGCAGAGTTATGATTAAACAGGACGATGCACCAAACGTTATATTTGAAACAGTCTCCAAACACATCATCTAGGAAGGTTTGAACAATTTAGTTCAAAAAGTGACTCCTAACATTTATCCTCTCTCTTTTCAAAGACAAACTGAGCTCCTTCTTTCAGAAAATAAGACGCATCGAAATCAAAATAAACAACAAATCAGTTTTAACATAATGTACAGATAGTTGTATAAACCACATTGTCAACCACATAGAAGTCAAGAAAGAGCTAAAATTTCACCAAAACACTCAGAGACACGCTGACTCAAGATCATTGGTTCTTCTGGAGGGCTCGCCGATGTTGGTTCGGGTGTTTTTCTGCCTCTGCATCCGTCTGCGCCGGTCTGTTCAACATTAAAGGTGGGGTAGTCAGGATCTGAGGAAGTGCCAGTTTTTTTTGGAAGAAATCTTAAACATAAACTGACCCTCTCTGCTCCAGCAAGCCCCGCCCACAAATAGACGCTCCCGCTCGCTCGTATCGTTCCAATTAGATTCAGATGTAATGCAGATAAATACTTAAGATTATACAAATGGGATCCCGAAGATCCCGAAGCGTCCACCATCGTTTACACTGATGTTGACCCGGCTTTTTAGCTCTCGTCCGGTCTACCTCCTTTGAAGCGCCCGTTATTCCTCCAGAGTCTCTTGGATTTACTTTGTTTTCTTGCTTGTGTTTTCCGAACTTTCTAGTTGGTTTCTACTGTCCGATATTGTAGCACGCTAACTTCAACGGAATCTTGCCTACCCCACCTTTAAGGCAGTGAAACAGCACAGAGCACGCTCAGATCGCAGCATATATAATGAGGTTAGAAACTGAGAGGCTGCAGATCATCCACAGAGGCTGAATTTGAGATTTTTCGAGACTGAATTCAAAACAGGGAGAAGTACCATCATGTAGGACCTTAAAGGCTGAAACACGCCCACAGGA